AGCCCTACATGGCATGGATCCAGGTTACCTGAAGGACCATCTCACCCCCATTATATTGACCGGTCCCACCCAGTCTGGCAGAGAAGGCATGTTATAGTTCCCGTCAGTGAGAGAATGTCGACTGGCGGGTCCTAGGAGGAGACCCTTCTCTGCCGTTGCCCCCACCCTATGGAATACTCTCCCCCCAGAGGTGAGGCAGGCCCCTACCCTCCCAGTGTTTCAGAGGGAATTGAAGGCTTGGCTCTGCCAACTTGCATGGGGCAAGGAAAGATACAGTCGACCCTGGGGATGGCTGGCGCCTTGATGATGCTCCCTGAGTTTATTAACACCTAATTAATAGCAGCCTCTTGGAAGTATCATAAAGGAAAATAAAGGAAGTTTGTTTCTTAGTACATTTTAATTAATTAAATTAATATTTATTTATTTTAATTAATGTTTGTTCTGTTTTTAATGTAAACTGCCCAGAGTCACCCCACAATGAGATGGGCAATGACAAATTTTAAATATAAATAAATACAGGATCCTAAGGCATAGGATCACATTTGCTGATAAACTTTTGTTTAGCAGCTTCAAACTGGGGTGTTTTTTTTTTGAAGTTACCTTATAGTAAATTGATGGTTAAGACAAACGCACTTATCTGTAAACAAAAAAGAAAAATGGGCATATTTAAGACTTTAAAAATGGCAATGTTTATTCATTCATTATATTTATTATTACACCTCTCATCAAGGATATAAAACAACAATCCTGTAGGGTAACTTAGGTAACAGAACACTTAGGTATACAGCATCTTCCAACAAAATGGATATCCACGCAACTTTATCAAAAAGTGCCTGACCACTCAAAACAAAATGGATATCCACGCAACTTTATCAAAAAGTGCCTGACCACTCAAAACAAAATGGATATCCACGCAACTTTATCAAAAAGTGCCTGACCACTCAACCTACTACAACACAACCAACATAGGCTATGAAAAGGATAACACTGCCATACATCAGAAATGTAACACCAAGATTATCACCAGAAATATAATCAAGCGTAAACAATGCCCTAACCAAGGAACTACCGGGGGTGGGGACATACCCCCACCAACACTGGCAGGGCATGCCACTGTATATAAACAGAGAGCAAACCCCACTCCATTCTAGCACTGAAGATGTTACCTAGCTGGGTAGCGAAATGTCTGCAAGGAAACAACCAAACTCAGAGAACCCCAAGGGCTCCATAGTTCAACCTTGAGCTACATATATTCTCTTCTATTAATTAACGGTATATTTTATTTCATAATACTGAATTACTCACCCAGTAAGTGTTGGGATTCCCAATCTCTGTTATCATATTGCATTCAGATGCTGAACAGCTTTCTTTAAAAAGAGATTTCTGTTCTTGAATTTTGAAAGGAATGGCTGCATTTCAAAAATCATGTATTTCAATTCCAGGGTATATATACATTGTATCCTTTCATCAATGCCAGAACTATTAAGGCTGGCATAGAAGATATTAAAATTTTGTTAACAGAAGAAAACCCATTCTTAAGCAGATTCAGTGATGAAACACGCAGTCAATTGAATGGAATGGGTAAGTGATCACTCCTGATAACTAACAGTTATTTGAGATTCAAGATCTGGTTTACCTTTTTTATATCAATGCTGAAAGCTGATGGCAAATGAAAGCTGATGATAAATACCCATTTATCAGAAGGCAACTCTTTGACCTCTCAGGATGCTTTCTGTTACCTCAACTTTACTTTTAATTTTTTTGCTTGGTCTAAATGACCTGTGGGCTGTAGCCACCCATGATTTTTATTAATTAATTAATTAATTAAATAAATAAATATCAAATAATGAAATAAAAGTCAAATGGGGCATGGAACCTAGCAAATAGTGGAAGTAACTGTTGGCACATCAATGGTCACATCTGTTGTTGCCTGTTTCAGTTTTATATTATATTCCAAGGGAGGGTGTAATAATGAAGGGAATTCTGATAAATGCAATCTATAACAAACCAATTTTATGTGAATTGGGAAAACACTTTATTATATATA